ATCAATTTATCCTTCGCGAATCACAAGTTAAATACAAACCCTCTTCTACTAATGTTGGTTGCGAATTGAAATCGAAATCCAAGGATCTTGTTTGTGAAATTGGTGTTTGTACAGATCCTGATAATTCTTGCTTGGTATCTAGGATTAAAAAAATTTGGGATAATGCTGGGTTTGGCAAGAAATTTATGATTTGTGGGTACAATATAAAGACCAAAATCATTAAACTTAATTTAAAATACAAGAAATTGATTAAATTGTCTTCTCTAAACTGGAACAGCAGTCTTGATAAGCAATCAAAGTTAGAGAAAGATTTTCTTACAGAATCCTATCAGCTTTTTGACATCTCAACTAAGAATTTTAAAAAAGATATTCTTGCTGATAGATTGAGAACAGATGATGCCAAGCTGGAAGATATAAAGTAAGTTCATTAAATAACACTTTTTTTAGTAGTGAGATTTTTTTTCCAATTAAAAGTAACTTGAGTAATAGCATATTATTTCCTTTAAAATATTTACGTTTAACTCTTTACATGGTTTGGTCATCTTCCAAGAAAAACTAGAACAGTTATTAATTTATTTATAAATGGCTTAATAGATTTATATATTTCTTAGTTTTTATGAAGACCAGAAGTTACATAGGAAAGGATATATTGAAACAAAAGTCGATGAAGACTACAGTATAAGAGCACTGGATGCAAACAGGAGAAAGAACAAGCTAGATAAGTTGAGAGAGAAAAAATTAGAGAGACAGAAAAACTTAAAAGATATCAATAATGTTTTGTTGTCACATGACTCCATGACAGAAAAGATTCAATTCAGCAGTGAGGAAGAAAAGTCAAACGAAGACTCTGAAATCAGCGAGGAAGATGATTTCCTGGGTAAAGATCGGAAACGCATGTATAGTATTATTTTAATAACATAGTTGTAATTTTCACAAGCTAAAGCTGTTTTATTGAAAAGTATATAATTATAAATAGGTAGAAAAATATTATAAAATGATACCTAGGTAAAATTCTGGAGATAGGATAAATCTAGCAGTGAATGTTGAAAAGCTCATTGAATGTACTGCTATTCCAGCAACAAGGTTCAATGTTGGTGTACGACCTCACCTGGCAATTTTAAGTGATGTATTTAAAGCAGGAGGTATAGAAATTAATGATATACTGTTTTCACGAAGCACACTTCATAGAAAAAAGTTTAAATATGTAGAACTTGAAGTAGACTCGGAGTGGATTTCAATATCTAATCATCTTAAAGGCCGATGGCTTATTCTTCATTTTGATACCAAGCTGTTGGAACAAATTACCACTGGGCTTAACATTATTAAAAAATTGAGCGACTTGCAGTCTCAGTGAGTTCCCCGGATGACGACACCACGGAAGACCATCTTTTAGGTGTTAATGTCCCTCTTCAAAGGGAGTTGACTAAGCAGAACAAGTGCACAATCTTTTAGAATATTACGGATGTAAAGAGCAGATCAATGGTATATGTTGTGATACAACTGCAAGCAATACAGGCGGAGTAAATGGAGCAGTCCAAGTTCTTACAGATAATTTGAAATTACCAATTTTGTGGATAATGTGTACGAGACACGTATATGAAGTACATGTATCTCACTATATGGCTGCCCTTACTGGTCAGAAAACTAAAGGTCCAAGAAGAGCTCTTTATGTCAAGCTAAAGAACAAGTGGCCTGAAATCTGTAAGAAAGTGAATGAAGTGAAAAATTTATGTAAATTGGACTGGCAAAGAGATGATCTGAAGATTGGCTCTGTTCTTCGCACTGTTGCAGAGGAAGCTAAGACATTTTTGACTAATGCAACTACTGATATAGTGTTTTCAAGGAATGATTATGGTATAGTTTGTAAGCTTGCCTCCTTCTTCCTTGGAGTGGAAGTACAAGATTTTAATTTCCATCAACCTGGCGCCTGCTATGAGGCAAGGTTTTTAGCAGATGCGATCTACATCCTGACTCTTTATATGACTAAAGATATCAGTAATACCTTGACAGAAAAAGAAATGCTGCAGTTAAAGGATGCAAGTTTGTTCATTGCAATTTGCTATGTTCCATGGTTTTTAAAAAGTTTTTTAGGATTTCTGGCTCCCTACAATAATTTGAAAGCTATCCAGACAGCCTATGCATTGAGAAAAATTAGTAAGAATATTGGAAATTCTTTGCTTCTCAGCATGGGACGCCATACGCGGTACTTAACTCCGCAGTTCTGTGTTATTTCCTTTGGGGATAAAGAAGTTCCTTCTGAAACAAAGCTAATGCTGTTATCTTTGATTGAGTTTGAAGAGCCAAATGAATTTCAGCGTTGTAAACCATCAAATGTACAAATTGGAGAGACCACAGAGCTACCTGAGTTGATTTCCGAGCAAAGCTACCTTCTCTTCAAACATTTTAAAATATCAAGAGCAAGTTTAAAAGAATGGCTTAATAATAGTTTTAATAGTATAGATGTTTTTAACCATCCTCAGTTGCTAGATATTTTTGCATGGATCAAAAACATATCTGTTGTAAATGATGGGGCAGAAAGAAACATTAAGCTCATTAAAGATTTTATTTCAGCTACTAGAGATGAAGATCACCTTCAAAGTGTACTTTTTGTAGTTAAAAAGTCTAGAAAAAACTTGACTAAGACTATGACTAAAAAGTAGCTTGGGAACTGTTCAAAAAGTTGTATTTTTTGAGAAATGTTTCACCGCAATAAAATCTTAAATTAGCTAATAAATATTAGTTTTCATGTATTTTTTTTTGTATTTTCATATTTATAAATATAATCTATTAAGTTAAATAGTAGAAAACAATTGGAAATGATTTATACCAATCTAATTGTTTTGTTTTAATTTTCTAAAATGTGTTTTCTATTAATGTTAAGCTAGCTTAACATTAAAACAGTAAAACTCAGATTTTACATCTAGCACTTTCTGTCAAAATAAAACCGTCAAATTTTTTTTAGTACTTATTTAGGTCACATAGAATGGGAATCAGTGGAGAGCTTATTTTTTTTTTTTTGGGACACCCTACTATCCATTGCTTAGCGTCATTTACAAAACTAAAAACTATTAGAATTCATAAGTCTACTTTTATTTTTTTTTAAGACTCGGTTGAATAATTTTGACAAGATAATCAGATGTACCATAAGGTGGTGCGTTAATTCTTGATACAACAGGCCGCATAGGGTAATCTTTTGCTGGTTTGTGAGCTTTAATCATTCCGTAAATCTTTGGTGGGTTACAATCTGATGGATCTATTTTAAAGTAAGAATTTGTATCTAGTTTACTTTCTTTTCTTAATTTGCACAACTATCTTTGAAATTTAGTAGTCAATGTGGATGTTGGTCATAATCAATAGTTTTGCTAATTTTTATTTGTTTTTTTAATTTGAGAGATTCATCTTTTTGGTTTAATAAATCAAAAACTGTGCCTTGACCGAAAGAGTATATCTTAATATTAGAATAGTTTTTTAATTTGCCTGAGTTGGTTTTTTAAATTTCAAGTTTTAAAGCGCAAGTTTCGATATTAGTTATAATATCCATAAAAGGAATTTTTTTCTGCAGTGGTACAAAATTTGGACATAAATTTAGTAGCTCAGTTGTTGATTCATTCAGAGTAACATTAGTTAAATTGAGCATATCAGGCCTAATAACTTGATTAGGAGGATTAAAAGTATTTTTTATAATCGGTGTAATTTATAATTTATGATATTTTTCTTTCTTTTCCGTTTTTTTCTTGATGTAATGGTAAAATATTGACTTGTTTGTTATGCTATTAATTAATTCATAATCATGTAATTTTACTTTTGTCTGAGGAAATATATTTAATTCATTAATTAATTTCTTACCTGGATATAACCTGTGTTTGGCTTCGTTGCGAGCATGAATTAGTAGTTTTTTACTGTATTCTTTCATTATATTTTTTGCATTTTTAGTTTGGATTTGAGTTTTTATTTTAAACGATTTTGGAGTTATGTTATTGGATAAGCCCTTTTGAAAAAAAACGAGATGATTTTTTGAGTTAGCATTTTGTATTTTAAAATCTTGTAACTTTTTGGTATCATCATAAGTCTTTTTGCCGTGAAAAGTAGTAACATAATTTGTGAAAGTGATTTTTTTGTTTTACGTTAAAATATGGTTAGAGTTCAATTAATTGAACGCTGACATTGACTTAAAAATTCGAACTAAACTTACTCTTGCAGACATGGAGTTCTACACAAATTGAGAAATGGTGATGTGGTTCTCAATCGGGATGAAGGTTATAACGTAACAACTAAAACATGGGGGCCATTTTTTAATAAAATATGCTGACGTCAGTTATTTGAAAAGATTTTTTGTATTATATTTTGGTATTCTAGTGTTATCTTTTTAACGGTTTGTTTTAACTATAACAACTTTTTTGTAACTATTTTAATTATTATACCTGACGGCGCTGATCACAATAGATCAGCGAAATATTAAAATAGTTAATATACTAAATAAAATAATTAATATACTAAAGAAAACATATACATATATTTAAAAAAAAGTTTATACGCAGCCGCATTTATTGAATTCTAACCATATTTTAACGTATAACAAGAAAATGACTTTCAAAGATATATATATATATACATACATATATATATATATATATATATATATATATATATATATATATATATATATATATATATATATATATATATATATATATATAGTATATATATATATATATATATATATATATATACATATATATATATATATATATATATATATATATATATATATATATATATTATATATATATATATATATATATATATAAATATATATATATATATATATATATATATATATATATATATATATATATATATATATATATATATATATATATATATATATATATATATATATATATATATATATATATATATATATATATTGTTGAAATAAAAAGTTGAGATTGGCATCTATATAATATTGCATTACATAAATTATAACAATAATATAAAAACTACCAACCATATTCAATAGAAGTAGAGGCAAAGACTGGAAATAATTCTTCATAACCAACAGTAAACAGCGTATAGAAACCATACAGCACAGATGAAATAAGGAATTCTTTGTTTCTAAAAATATTTCTACAAATTTAAAATGACGACAAATAGAAATGAAAGTTTAAAAATATTTTAGAACAGTTATTTAGTATTATGTCATATATTGAGCAACTTAATAGTAATAATAGTATTAATTCTCATTCATGCTTGTTTGAATCTCGATACAGTAATTAAAGCCGAACTAATAGCAAGAAAGAGTGACTTTCATATGAAAAAATGCCTTCAGGACTTTTTTATATTACAATTTGAGCAAAAGTGCTTGCAGATATATAACTCATAAAAACTTCATATTATGGGTATGGTAAAGTTTAATTAGGTTAACAAAGTTATAAATCGAGTTTTCAAAAATAAAAAAAGAAGTAAAAAATTTGTGTATATGTTTCATATCTAATTTTTAATACATATCTAATAGAATTTCATATCTAGAACTAGAGAATTGCTATGTTTTACATTTTAAAAAACAAAAAATTAAAAAATAGTTAGCTGATGATTTAAACTTACCACGCAATAACTCTAAGTAATTTAAAAGCAGTAGCGGAAATAAAAAGTATGTTAAATAAGAATACAATAAAAAATTATTTTTATATATTTAAAATAAAACACTTTAATAAATTTGCTTTATCTACAATACAAAACAAATTAAAAGTTACCTGATATTAGGATATTAGGTTGATTTTTCATATTTTTATAAACAAGATTTTGTAATAAAATAATTCTATTATTGTTCGCTTTATTACATAACACTTTTTGAGCACTTTACATAATATTATTAAAAAATCCTGTGCCAGTTTATTAGTTGTCATCTTGCATTTTAAATTGTCATCTAATAGCCTTTATCAATTGTCTTATCAAGAAAGGTAAATAATTTCTCATCATAAAGTAAGAAATCATATATTATAATATATATTATATTTTTTTTTATTGTGTAATTTTTAAATATTTTGATTTTTTCCAATATCATATTACATTAAGAAATAGCCTTCGGTGCATCCTAATCTGGGTTAAGGTCTGTTTACAAGACCTGCCTATAAGGACTTTTCACTCCGTCATACCAAGACTATTGAATATTAGTTTATTTGTAGTTATAATTTAAACTAAATAATTGTTTTAGATTGATATGGAAACTACCCTGTGGTACAAACATTCCCTAGTGTCTTTATCCCTAGTCCTTCCGGCAATACGAACAGCAAAACATAGTTACACGAAAATTTTTTATCATATTTAGTCTGGAGAACAAGTTATTAAATGATGACGCAAAAAGTACCGGCTTTCATCATCAAACTTTTTAATTGTTGCGTTGTGTCATGTATTAACTTAATGAAGGTGCAAGCGATAATCAAACCAGAAGGGAGTCTGAAAAACTTTTATTGGTAAAGTTGAAGGTCTTCTACGAAAAAAACTAAAAATCTAATCATCAGCGATCGTAAGGCATGCAAAAAGATCATTAAACTTCTTAATCATACAACTGATACAACTGATATATTGAGATTCCAGCATACACTGATGGAATTATTTTAGTGTCCTGAAACCACCACCCAATCATGGTCAAGTAAGCTGAGTCTGTACTCAACCGGGCTAAGTACTGAAATATGTCTTTTGGCAGCTTTTAACCAAATTGGACACGTGCTTTGCCATTATGACTCAAAAATACACATTTTATTTATTTCTAACATGGACGCTAACTCTTCTAATTACGTAATTGGAGCAGTTCAGAGTTATGTGTTCTGCATCTTCAAAGGTTTGATTTATATATATATATACATATATATATATATATATATATATATATATATATATATATATATATATATATATATATATATATATATATATATATATATATATATATATATATATATATATATATATATATATATATATATTTGATTTAATTCTGTACTTTAAGTTATTGTTAATGTCTTTAGACGTTAAATTGCTGTTGATAAATAGGATATTAACAGAGTTATAAATATATATTTTTTGTTTAAATGAAGAAAAAGGTTTTAATAGTATTTAAAGTTTTTTGTCTTTTGGCAATCATCAGCAATTAATTACAAATCAAAAACGTAAATTAACGTTTAAAAAAACGAAAAACGAAATTTTTTTTAAGATGATGAGATGGAAAGCGTTCTTATTTATCAAGAGCAATACAACGTCTAAAGACGTTAACAATAGGTATGTACCAAAGCTTCGGCTTCGGCATGCCGAAGGTTCGGTTCGACCGAAGCTAGGTCAGTTTTTTGCCGAATCTTTGGCTTCAGCAAAAAAATTTTAAGTAATAAAAGTTATAAGCTACTGTAGTACAAGTTATAAAAATATGCTAATTGCCAGTGTCTAATTAAGTTATAAATTCAGGACTACATAGTTAAAGTTGGAGTCTATACCATATACTTATTATTATTAACTCCCAAGTGTTTTTTATGGAGGGGATAATAATAAGTAAAAATATTTTAAAAATAATAATAAAATTAAGGAAGGTCCTCATACACTTTGAAGGCTTTCAAGTGTGACTATAGATGTACTGAATCAGCATTTCTATTCAGAATAAAAACCTTATAATTTAAAACAAATTAAAAGTTTTTAAAAATAAAATGGAAAAAAAACCTTAATTTGTATTATGTAACGAATTTATATTAATTATTGTGTGGGGTTACCGCAAATAGAACAATATTTGGTTTCAGCATTTGACCTTTAAACCTTAGTAATCTCACTTTAAAGAAGATTAAAGAAACGTTGCTACTATTTGAAATTGTGTGTATTATTAATTTTTTTAAATTTTATTTAACCATGCTAATAAAAATTTACAAATTTTTATCGTAAATTTACTGAAATTGGTTAGGTGTCACTTATATAGATACAAACTAGTCAATGGAGTGACACATAAAAAATAAAGTTCTCAACAAAGGAAGAAAAGCGAATGAAATATAAATGAGGAGAATAAAAAAAGGAAAAAAAAGTCAACAAAAGCTAGATAAATTAAAAGAAAAAGAAAAACAATGATAATAACTATCCTTGCTCTTTTATTAACATTATGAATACTTCTAAATTGAATTTATATATTAAACATCTAAACCTATATTCTGGTTTCTTCTTATGATATTATGAAGACTTTTAAATTTTATTTAAAATAAATTAAAGGTTGAAGCTTTGATTACTTTGAGCACTTATATTTATCATCATAATTTATTTAAATTAAATGAACAATTTAAATAAAATACATATCAGCCTGCTCAATCCCTGTTTATTTATTAATATAAAGTAAATAATAATATAATTATAAATAAAAAATTAATAAAGTATTCTATTTATTATTTTATTTAAAGCTCACTGTACAGAGTTGTTAGATTACTATGGAAGCTTTTTTCACAGATAGTTAATATTTGATTTCAGATACTGATGCAAATTTATCCATTACAGAGACAGAAGAAGAATGAAGAGTAAGATTTCAGAGTTTAAAAGATTAAAAGAAGCTAAAGAAAATGTTATGCAGTGTAAAGTTAAAAATAATCAAAAAAAAAAAAAAAAAAAAAAAAAAAAACTTTAAAGTGTGTAAAAAAGAAGTTAGAGAGAAATTTATCATTTGTACTTTTTTTTTAGCAGCAGGTTCACAACAATTGTAGTTGAATTCAAGATGGTCTCAACTTGGATTTTTTTAGCTTAGAAATTGTTTTTAGTTTACAGAAGTAAAAAAAGATATTGAAATAAATAAAAATAAAAAGATAAAGTGTGTTTGTAAGATTTTTTATGTTGTAGATAGAACTAGATCAGCTAAGAGTGTTTATTTGAAGAAAGAGTGATCAAGTGCAAAAGATAAATTTACTCTAATAATGGTCAGAGATTTTTATCCACTTCTATTAACAAAAGGTGCATTAAAAATAAAAATAAAATATACAGCACATAAAAAGATGCTATATAACATTAATATGGCTTGCACACAGAAAAAGTAGAACTTGAAGTAGTTAAATTTGGGGAGAATGTTTCAAAAAAGCTTAAGTTTAAAAAAAAAAACGCTCGGTGCGGTCAAGTATCAGAAAGGACATAATGAGAAACTTTCAAACAGGGGCGCTGAGAGCTATTACCCTGCCTGGGACAGCAACCCTGACTGGCGTCCTCATTTTTAAACAACTTTTTTATATTATTAGTCAAGGACCTTAGTTTTGGTCAAGGACCTTAGTTTTTAACCTTTTTTGTTTTACACCCTTGCTGATCTAAATGCTGATTAAATTTTAAGCATATATAGTGCCGAAGTTTCAGCTTTGGCAAAGTGGCTTCGGCCGAAGCTTCGGCTTTGGCAAAATTTTAGCTTCGGTACATCCCTAGTTAACAATTACTTAAACTAAGGAATTAATTAAATTAAATGTCCACCTGAAATAAAAGAGATGTTTTCTTTTGAAAAAGATATAATATATCTAATTAAAACGATAAAACTTCAATATCTATAAATTATATCCAAATAAGATATATCTATAAATTATCAAAAAAGATAAAATTCACCTTTTATCTAATGCTATTACTACCACTTACAAAAAAGCTGACCTAAACCTCAAAGATAAAATAAATAAAGAAGGAAAAGATGCTTTGCGTAGCCATGACGTTTATAAAAAAATCAAAATTAACGGATCATCTGGATGATTTATCACATTGAAAGACCATAAAGATATTTTTGCTAACAGCCCTACTGTTCGACTTCTAAATCCAGCAAAGAATGAGGTAGGGAGAATTAGCAAAATTAATTTATCTACAATTAACAATGACCTAAAAACTTAACTCTTTTTAAACCATTGGCAAAGCATCAAGAATGTTACCGACTGCTTTATAAAAATTGAAAACAAACATTCGTCCATATTTTTAATTTTTGACGTTAATGATTTTTACTTTTCGATAAGTGAAAAAACTCTAATTATTGCAATCAACTTTGCCGAACATAATATTTTAATAACTACTAAGCATAAAAAATTAATAAAAAGTTAAAGCAAATCTTTACTTTTTAACAATGAGAAAGCGTGGGTTAGGAAAAATAGCAGTCAATTTGATGCTACCACGGGGGCTTTTGACGGTGCTGAAGTTTGCGAATTAGTAGGTATTTTTTTGTTATTTCAAATTTTGTTATATAACAAAAAAAAAAAATGTTGGTTTGTATTGTGACGACGGTCTATTAATATTTAAGAACATCAATGGCCAGCAGACGAAAAAAATCAAGAAACATTTTGTAAGAATTTTTAAAATGATTTTCTTATATCTATCCAATGCAATATGAAAATTGTAAATTGTCTCGATGTGACATTCGATCTTATTAACAACTCTTTTTTAGGAATAAAAGTAGGAAATTGTTTATTAGCATTGGTGGATCTACATTTGCCTGTGAATCACAAGCTACGCAAGATATTCAATAGAAATTGAACAAGGTTAGTTAAAGCTGCATGCAAAATATAAAATCCATCATTAGTCCACACAACCACAAGATTTTACAAAGTCAAAGAAATATAACTACAAAAACATGTAACTGTATTACTAAAAACGCCTGTCCATTAAGCAACCAATGTTTAGTAAATAATTTGTTTACCAGGTTTTGTGAAATCTAATGATACAGATCCTAAGGAAAAAGTTTTGTTATCAGTGAGACACCATTCAAGTACATATACGCAAATCATTTAAAATCTTTTAATGCGATCAAAAATAAAAATGATAGTGAACTTTCAAAAGAAATTTGGAGTTTAAAAGAAAAAGGTACAATACCTATTATAAAATGGAAGGTTATAAAACGTTTTCAAGCTTTTAAAACAGAAATAAAAATCTGCAAACTTTGTCTTCATGAAAAATTAGGAGTTTTATATTTTAAGGAAACAACTTGCATAATAAAAAAAACGAAATAATATCTAAATATCGATATTTTAAAAAATTCCTGTTTTTATCGTTTGATACTGGAAATTAAATGATTGCGTCTTTAAAAATTACGTCAGAACTCATTCTAGCGTAAAATTTTGATTCGTTTTATGCAAGTTAATTTTCGTTTTTGATTTGTAATTAATGGCCAGTGCCAGATCAAGGGTGGAGGCTAGGGGGGACTATAGCCCCAGGCACCGCAAATTTAGAGGCCCCAAAAAATTTCAGAGGAATTTTTTTTTTTTTTTGTCATTTAAAAAAAAATAGCCCCGGGCCTTAAAAAGTCTTAATCCGCCACTGTTAATGGCTGATGATTGCCGAAAGGCACGAAACTTTAAGTACTATTAAAATGTTGTGTTACTAAAATGTTTTTCTTTATTTAAATTATATATATATATATATATATATATATATATATATATATATATATATATATATATATATATATATATATATATATATATATATATATATATATATATATATATATATATATATATATATATATATATATATATATATATACATATATATATATATATATATATATATATATATATATATATATATATATATATATATATATATATATATATATATATATATATATATATATATATATATATATATATATATATATATATATATATATATTGTGCTACAATATATTTATTTTATAAATGAGAAATATTAAAAAAAACCTCAAATGTTTTTAAAATTTTTTTTCTATACTTAGTGAGTGAATTAATATTCAGAAACTGAAAAAGAAAAAAAAAAATGTTTTTTTTCCTAACAACTGATGTTTTTAAACAACTTATGTTTCTTTTTCTTAAGAAATGATGTTTTGTTGATTGTTAATAAATATACTTACTTGAATAAGTAAATATGTAGTTTTCATTTGCATTTAATAATATTGGTAAAAGCTCCTCTTAAATTAAAGTCTAAAATTTTTTATAGTTATTTTAAATTTTATTATTAATTATTTATGGGAAACATTCAGAGAAATGCCACACATTTGCCATCTGTGTTTTTTTGTTAATAATCTATTTACAAAATCAATTAGTTATATCTGCGCATTCAATAAGCTTAAAAAATTTTCTCTCCAAAAATAGGTAGATAATAGATTTAAATTATTTTCTATCCAAATAAATCCAAAAAAAAAACAAAGTGAGGTGTCTAATAAGCTATACGTGCGTGGGAACGTATAAAAGCTTGAAAGTATAAAATTATAGTCGTTAACCCAAGGCCTAGATATTTAATTATTTATTCTACCGTATGCTACGAAACATTGAAATAAAGACGGCACAAAAAATGAGTATAAAAATAATCGGATTTAAACAGACTTACATGACTCCTGTTTACGGGTCAAGACAGATGGTAATTAAAATGTTAAATAAACATTACCAAAAGCACATATAAAAGTGAATAAAATAATACAATTTTATAAAGTGATACACATTGCGGGAAAAAAAAATACCTTATGAGTTTAGCAAAACTACTCATCTTTAACAACATCAAAAACTTTTTTAATTTGGAAGGCTTTGAATCAATTAATCTAGTTAATTCATTTTTTAAATGTTTACTTCTTTTGAGTATTTCTAGATCAACAGAACAATTAAGATACGCATCTTCATTAAACATAGAGGAATCTTTTTTATCTTCAATTAGTAACGAACCCCTTTCATTGAAAGATCTGAAAAAATTTTTGTATAATTACTATATATTGCTTAATATATTTTGTTTAATATATATATATATATATATATATATATATATATATATATATATATATATATATATATATATATATATATATATATATATATATATATATATATATAATATATATATATATATGTATATATATATATATATGTATATATATGTATATATATATATATATATATATATATATATATATATATATATATATATATATATATATATATATATATATATATATATATATATATATATATATATATATATATATATATATATATATATATATATATATATATATATATATATATATATAAAAGATTTTTTTAAGTTGATTAAGGTGCCCCAAGAAGTCTATACGGTCTTATCACAGAGCACCGCGGAAGAGCATTTAATAGGAAGTTCACGCCTCCTTCCCAACCGATGTCGCAAAACTTGCCAAGAGGTGGGGTTTGAACCAGGGATCTTACGTTTCTGAAGCAATTGCGTTACCACTGCGCCACGGCTGCTCATATATATAGATAATACATATAGATATTCATATATATAGATAAGATGCTTCATATATATAGATAAGATGCTTCATATATATAGATAAGATGCTAGATAAGATAATCATATATATAGATAAGAGTCTCATATACAGTAGCGTCCAGGCAAAAACAAGTTTGCGGACAGGCAAAAAAATAAAGAATTTTAATTATATTTCAGCACATACTTTACTAAAGCCAACATATTATATACCAATTAAAAGGTTTTCAAATTTACAATTAGGTTATGAACAAATAATTATTATCTAAATAATAAATTGGTATACAAATCAACGGTCTTTGATAAGTTCAAAAATTTGCGGACAAAGCATTACTTTTTAAAATAGTTAAAATGCTTTAACAATATTTGATCAAAATTTTTGCAAATGCAAAATCACATTAGTATTTTGTAGGATATCCTTTACAATCAAGAATAGCTTGACATCTATGAGGCATAGAGTCAACTAAATTAATGCAAACGTCAATGGGAATTAAGTCCCATAATTCTTTGATTTTATTAAATATATCAGCATAATTTGTAGGCTTAATTCTTTTTATTTGACGGTCAACATGTTCCCATAGATTTTCAATGGGATTTAAGTCAGGTGATTGGGATAGCCACTTCAAAACATTACCTTTACTCTCTTTAAAAAACTCTAAAACTGATTTAGCTGTATGTTTGGGATCATTATCCTGTTGGTAAATCCATCCTAGAGGCATTTTATCCTTTGCATATGGTAACATAATAGTCTCACATATATCTTAGTACTTTTCTTGATTCATGTTCTCGGTAATTCTATGGAGAGGACCAACTCCATTTTGGCCAAAATATCCCTAAACCATTACATTACCTCCTCCATATTTTACGGTAGGCAGTTGGTATTTAGGATTGTACCTAGTACCTACTGGACGTCGAACATACCTGATTCCATCGGATCCAAACAGCATAAATTTGCTTTCTTCACTAAAAAGAATTTTTGACCATTTTTGACTACTCCACTTTAGATGTTTCAATGCAAATTCCATTCGGGAGTTACGGTTTTTCAAGGAATTTAATGGTTTTTTAGCTGGGCGTCTTCCAAACAAATTAGCGTGACGTAAACGACGTTTTATAAAAGAAATACTACAATTCATTCTATAGAAACGTCTTATTTGTACGTTTAAATCGACAGCTGTCAAACGGGGATTTTCTTTGCTTAGTATTACAAGCTTTTTATCCTGACAACGCGTTGTTTTGCGTGGCCTTCCTGATTGATTTTTATTCTTTTTAGATCTAGTAAGCTCAAATCTCTTCATAATTTGTCCAACAGCAGACTTACCAACTCCATAAAGCTGTGCTGTTTTACGAAACGAGTTTCCATTCTGAACTGATCTCAAGATCAATTTTTTTACTGGAGACGAAATACATTTCTTAGGTCCCATGATCACAATCACTTATATATAAAGTTTTGAAATTATTTCCACAAAGTATTTGTTTATAAAATCAACAAATTAGCTATTTTGTGGTGAAAATGTTAAAAGGTTAGTTTGTCCGCAAACTTTTGAACTTTTCAAAAATCGCCATTTTGTTAACCAATTTTAAAATGATAATTAAATATTCATTATTTGCTCAAAACATAATTGTTAACTTGGAAACCTTTTAATTGGTATATAATATGTTTGCTTTAGTGAAATATGTGCTGAAATTTATGTAAAATCCCTTATTTTTTGCCTGTCCGCAAACTTTTGGACGCTACTGTATATAGATAAGATGCTTAGAGACTGCTCCACTAAGCAGCTTCTTATAAGAGCTCTTAGTTTTTGAACGATCTATCTGTTAATTCATTAAAAAATTGCTTATTAAATAAAAAATTTGATTTTATATTTGAAATAAACTTATGTTTGTAACAATAATGTTATTGTAAGAATATTTACATTACAGGCGTCATTTACTGCGCCGTGAAAAATTCTTTAGAATAGCGTTGTCTTTGGGTTTCAACGATCACTCCAAGAATCCATTTAATTATAAAAAAAATTATTTATTTGATCAAACAAACATAATGCTGTTTTTAAAAAATTTTATAAATATTTTTTGTCCTGTATGTCTACGCATGAATATTTTATTTTAGACAACTTGGTCACGGCCGTTTGAAAGTTTTTTTATATTAAACGTTGCGGAAAAAACTAATGGCTCATTCACACTAGAGATAAAAAAATTTTATTTTATTGTTATAAACTGTGGAAAACATCAATAAAACAATATAACAAGGTTGTTTTATATTAACACAAACTTGTATTGACAAACAGTATTGTTTAATTGTTGTATTATACAGCTTTTTACAATAACAACTTAATAGACTTAATAAAATAAATGATATTTTATCGTCCGTATAAACGGGGTATAAGTTTCAAAAACAAAGAAAGTAAAACATACAAAATAGGAAATTAAAATGATATTTATTCTATTTAGATAAAAAAAAAAAGTAAAAAAAATTAGTAATTCAAACTAATTGAGTACTGTTTTTATTTTTGTTTCTTAAGAGTCGTTGTTAACTTCACTGACAAATATGATAAAAGCAAAACAAAAAAAAAAAACAAAAAAAAGTAGTTTTAAGTCGACATAAGAATTGTTTTACTATATTTTACTAGTTTTTTTTTAAGAAGAAAATCTTTTCTTTTTTGTTTACAAAATCCTTTTTGTTGTATGTTTATGATTGAAATATATCTCTTCACTTTCAAATTGCTAAATCTGAAGAGATTCATATCATTTTATACTTTCAGTCTAAGTCATTCAGTCCTTTCTAAGTAAGGCGCACACACATATATACATAGTTTTTAAGCTTTATTTCGCTTCGCACACTATAGATAAATTTTGCAATGCATTGTGGTGAATGTATACCGCATCTAAATATTTATAAGAAAATTTATATACTACAGATAAAAATGATTCAAATGTATCCTCCAAATGTAACCCTAACTAGATGAATTTTCTTCAATCAAGCCGTACTTAAGTTTTAACTTGTTTGTTGTAAACTCGATGGTTTGTTGTCGTTTCTGCTTTAAATTTAAAGTTGACGAAATAGATAATCTAAGAGAATGTACATAGCTAAAGGTTTACGACGTAAAATAAGATTTTAAGATTTTAACACCAATAAATAGGAATCATTCCTAACCTAATAACTGTTCCTTAATTCCTAAGTAATAAAATGGGCAAAGATTATTTCTACTTTATCTTTAATATTACACTAACTGTTATACGTATACATAATAGACAAAACCACAGAAAGTTGAGCTTGATAAAGGCAGACATTTTTGTCTGAACCTTTTAACTTTTATTCAAATATATTTTTTATGATATTTTTAAATGGAAAAAAAAATATTTTGAAACACTGCTACAAAACTCAAATCTATTTTGTTTACAACTATTTATACTTCATCTGCATTGTCATTATTAGCAACAAGTGGTGGCAAAAAATTAATAAAGATAGAAGCAATTTATCCATATTTTATCAAGGTTAGCAGCCATTAATAGAGATAAAACTGTTTGTAAAAGTAATAGTTTTCTACAATCTCTGTTAATCACTTTATAGTTACTCTAACCAATGCAATACTTCTTAAATTAATGACCTACTACAGTAGTTAATTAATTTCAAATCACCGTACGAAGAAAACTTATGGAGAATGCGAAGCATTCCAAACTTTATCAAAAACTTTAAAAATGTTAAGAGCATTATCTTTAAAAAGTAAAATATTATTGGAAGTATAGACAACAGCCCCGGGGAATACTTCTGCAAGACTATCAAAGGTATGTTTTCTAAACCACACGCCGTAGGAGAAGCAGGAAATCACTTTAGATACAGAAACTGGAGTAATACGAATGTCAAGCTATGGATCAACATATTTGTTCGCTATATCAGGTAGAACGCAACTAGTGGAATCTAGAAATGATATTGATGAAAAGTTCTTAGCAAAGAACTCAGCTTTGTCTTGGGTGAGGTGACATATTCTGAACCGTACAAGAGGGGAGTAATAACAGATTTGCCATTATTATTGATACTTTTAAAGATTCTCCAGAAGTCGCAAGAGCCTATTTTTTAAGAAAAAGTACGGAATTTTGTTTAGACAAAACTATCTTACAATGATTTTTAGCAATAGTAAACATAATTTTTTTTCTGAGTAATTGTTTTGGTGATAAATATGTAAATAATTATATGGTTTGGAAATTACAGCAGCACAATGTGAAGAAAAAACTATGGAGGAGAGTGGCTTTTCTTGAGGAGAGACTTAACTTGAAATTATTGATAGAAAATCAAAAAGATTCCATGCTTTCCTAAATCCAAGATATTATGTAAGAAGTACATTGGTCAAAGGGAAGAAAAAATTTCTATCCAAAGGCCATCACGAAAATCACGGAAAGAGTCCCAGTCGCCACTAAGGTAAACGTAAGAGGTACAATAATAGA